ATGCTCTGCTCTTCCCCATTCTCCATTATTGTACAAAGTCGTTAATTAAACAAGTCGACCAAGACCAAGCGAAATATTTCACAAACCACAGGAAAATATCTCAAACCTGAATACACTCAAAAGCTATTAAGATTGTCATTTCAAGAAGAAGCAAACAAGCCTTTTCTCTGTTGTACAGAAATGACGTCTGTGGCCAGGAAAAACTTCCAGAATTCAGGGGTTATACTTTATATTTCTTATGCCTCTGAAGATATTTGATTAGACAAAATACTTTACCGAAGAGTTCCATAGAAAGCCAGGTCCTGAAGCAATCATTCCTTTTACATCTTCATGTTACATCAGGGTCTCAAGCTTTGTTTTCCCGACACTGTAAATGCTTTTTATTCACCTTGTCATTACTTGTGCATTCTTGTTGTACTTTGAACTTGAGAATTTTGTCTTGCACAGGTGTTAAAATTTCAGGTGTGGCAATTTCAGTTAAAGAGCAAAGAAATGCTACACTAAAGTTAACCTTGTTCACTCATTATGAATTTTCTTTATATTTACATATCATAGTCTATATTTAATCAGCCTTTATAATATCTAACTGGGCAATAAGAATATAAGTACGACATTGTGAAGCGCTTTGGGAAACACAGTTACTTAATGTTACTATTCTTTTATGGCTTATGACAATATTTTCCCTTTGGCTTCTAGCTCAGAATGGCGCATTTTATAAACAGGAGCCTCACTTGTGTAATTCACACACACAGTTTCACCTAAAGGACTAAAGAAGATTCTCAGCTCTGAAAAAAGCAAATTTCCTCTTACCCTTCAGTGCTCCACTGCTCTGCTCATCCAGTGAGGCTCCCAAAGGGGTGCTGCAATCACAGAAACACAGAAGCCTCAGTCTTCTGGAAACCCATCTGGGGAACTGTCACTGCACAGCTTCACTTCAGGGTTAGAGCTAAGCAAGCATCTTAATCAACTTAGCGGGCGCTCCTCCCCAAACACCAGGAATGTGAGTGCCTTACATAAGTAAGCTGTCCTTCTAAGCAAATACGTGTTGTCAAGTCAGGTCACCAGCAGTGACTTAATCACAGGTCTGCTCGGCAGTAATTAAAAGCAGGAATGGCAAATCGCACATGATATAAATTGTTATTTTCTTTGCAAAAACGGGGGGTGGGGTGGGGTGGGGGTGGATATAATGACAAAAGGCTAAGGAATTGTTTCACTCAATCCCTTCTGCTGAAACAAACCAAAACCAAACAACCAAACAAGCAAGAAAACAAAAACAACAGGATTAGAAGAAAACGAAATTTCAGTGGTAAGCAACTTAATTTAGTAACACAAACAGTTACAGGAGTTGGGAAATAAGCTCAAGGGTTCCTTAATTCTTTCTTACCTGTCGATGGAGCTGGCAGTCCAGACTACTACCTAAGCAGCTGCTCTTTACCTCAACAAAAGCCTTTCTCATAAACACAGAGAAGCCTGAGAGTCACTTTCTGCTTTTAAACTTAAGAAAAAAAAAAGTGACACATTTTCATCACTTAACTTTGGAAAGTCCTCAACTCAGCCTGGAGGTCAGAGTGAAGGATCAGCCAACGCTGGTTGATTCTCTCCTCTTTTTGTAGTTCAAGCACAAATGTCTCAGAATTGGTTTTCAATTAAGAGATGTCTTTACTTTTCTCGAGACAACTTAGTTTTGTGACTTGAGTCACAGGAACATTCTTTGATTCTGGAGGTTCTATTCTGTGATACAAACTTTAGTTTTCAGTGACAGTTCCTGTTAACAGTCTATCTCAGAAGTGGGATCTATCCTGGAAGCTATCTGTTTTAAAGAAATGCTACTGAATGCCAATTAAAAGTGCAAGCAAATACATAAACAAGGTAGTTCTTTGAAAATTAGTGTTTTTGAGATGTAGAAGGATCATGAGCAAGTACCATATGGGAACTGATAAAACCTTTAATTCTAGGGTTTTGCATACATTTCAATGACGCTCTAATTTATGTCATTAAGAAACTGGTTTTTTCTCCTGATGGCTCTTTTCTTAGTTGGGCCCAAACACTGTATTTCTGTGTCCACAGCTGCCTGTGATGTTCTGCAAATGAGGCAGAATGGAACTGGCCCCCTTCTTCAAAAGCACCTTCTCCTCACTACCCTCCTCCAAATCCCATCAGAATCATTACTGCTTCCTAGGCATTGCTTTAGTCAATTTGGTTGGTGAAAAAAGAAATAGTTATCAGAATGAATAAAGACTCCATCAGAGAAGGGAAAGTATGACATCTTCACTCAGGATATGAATAGCAATGGGAAAACGGAGCATTGCAAGGAAGGGAAATACTGTCCTTCAAATCATTTGCAAATAATATACAAAACACATTAACACTCAACTCTGGGAAGGACCCCACATTGCTATTAAAAAATACAGTTGCAAATATCATAGCAGTCAAATCTACAACAGACTAGCCCACATTAAAAGATTCCGTGTTCCAACTTTCCCAGGCACAAATGAATAAATACTGCTTGTGTATTGAATAGGGGTGACCATCGGAACAACAAAGAAGTCTATGAGAGGAGGACAGAAGGCTCCAGAAGCTGTGCACATTAAGTTTAGCAATGAAACTTCTGGAATTTTCTGGACTGAACTTGTGTCCTGGTCAATGTCAGCATTCTCTTACTTGCATTTACCTGAAAGATGTATTTATTTCCTGTCTACTTGATACGATTCCTTCTACAATCCCAATTCCTATACATCATTTTTTAAATGTGATTTTTCTCTTCTTCTTACATTAAAAAAAAATTCATTAGACCTGTTTTGAGGATAAGGCAAAAGTGTATCCAGGAATGGATTTTAAATCCAGACCAAGATGTAAACTTTAAAGACTTGAACAAAAGCAAGGATAGACTACCCTCTTCACTCCTCAATGGAGAAATCTCAAAGATACTGCTTTGTAAGATCTCTCATAACACATTTTGAAGATGCACATTTAAAATTTCAACCTTTCAATTTCACACCATTCTGATGCCAACCCCCTGGCACACTACTGTGCTTTGTAAAGGTCATATTCTTGTAATTCAGAAATCAAAGGGGTAAACTAAGCTGGTTGTTAACCTAAAGATGTCTTGAAGCAATGTATTTGCCTCTGTGCATCTTTAAAAGGAACATCTATACATCCCATAATATTTCAGAGACGTCCATGACACCACTAACAAAAGTAAAAAAAAAAATTCCGCAGTCAACAATCAGTATGGCTCCAACTACTCAAGTCACTAAAACAGAGGCAGCCAATATTCTATCTGTCTTTAGGGGACAAACATTACTACCATATATAAGAATCACCTTCCAAAATAAAAAACAACGAAATAATCCCTAGGGCAAACATAACTTGAAAAGGCAATAGTATGCCCAGCAGCAAACGCCAACAGAAGTTTAAAAGCTATAGTCTTTACACAGATTTTTCAAAGAGCAAATAAACTGGAAAAAGATAAAAGTGAAACACATTTCACTATAGTCAGATTTACTTGCAATACAACCCACCCTCTGTATTTTATCAAACATTTTTGTGCCGGTTGCCACAGCCTGTAACACAGACTCATGCAGTCTGAATGCCTTCAAAGCCCCATTTCCTTCTTCGAATTCCAATGCCATCTGACAAACCCGTGTCCAAGGAGTTAAACTCCAAGGACCAAGCTGGCTAGTTTTAATAGCTCCCCAGAGAGACTCAAGGCACACAACCCAAATTAAAGCCCGGTTAGTGTAGTTAAGTAAATTAAATTCGTCTAAAACACGTTTGAAAGGAAAATGATTCCGTGCCAGATATGCAGATGCCAAAATAAAAACATCCTACGAAACATCAGAATTCTTTCAAGAAATGCCACGACCAGCCAAAGTAGCATCACCATGACCTGTTTTAGCTTCTGATCTGATGCTGACATCATACTCGGGCTGCTAAACTTTACAGTTCTAACTGTAAAGTTAACTCAGTCACAAATAATCAGAGGCCACAACACTTCCAGTTCTAATCGCTTCAAGAAGGAAGCTATCGGCCGGCTCACTTTCCGGTTTCTAGCTTAAAGCCGCCACGGGACCCAAAGACACTGCCGATTCCCTCGCTTCTCCCCAGACAACTCGAGCAGGACTCACCGGCAGTCTTTGAGCCATATTGCGATCTTTTCGTTGGGCACGTTTCCTGCGGAGCAGAGCGAAAGGACAGCTCGTTAGGGACCCCCAAAAGTACTCAGAGGCTGTGCCATCCTGACACTCCCTTGCAGGAGAATCCGCCAGGGGCAACCGGCAGCCTCGGGGAGCCTTCCGGGCGCCCGACCCAGGGGAGACAGCCGGCAGCCAGGTGCACATGCTGGCGCTAGAGCGCCGATCACGCGCGCGTTTAAAGGTCGGGGGGCGTCGGGTCCCCGCGCCCGGTGGCACGGAGCACGCCACCTCCCCGCCCGCACGTCCCGGCGCACCGACCTCGCCCCGCGGCCGCCGGCAGCTTCGCTCCGGGGAGGTCCTCCTCGTCGTCCTCGTCCTCGTCCTGCGTCGTAGCCTCTGTGGACAGATCCTCCGTCTCCGACGCCTGCCAGGAGCTGCGGCACTTGGCCCAGGCCTTCCTCCTGCGACTCGCCACTTGCCACTCCAGTTCCTCCTCCGCCTCTGCCGACGCCGTCAGGGGTCGGTTCATGGCCGCACCGGGGGCTCCGCGGGCCCAGCCCGAGCCTGCGCGGGACACGGCGGCGGCTGCGGGGACCCCCGCCGCTGCTGTCAGCGCCCAGCCGGGCAGGGGGCCCGGGGGGGGGGGGGGGAGCGGGAGCGGGCGCCGCAGGAGGAGGGGACAGGGAGGGAGGGAGGGAAGGAAGGGAGGGAGGGGCGGAGGGCCGGCGCTTCACGTGAACCCGGCCTGGCGGGGCGCAGGAGCGCGAGTGGCTCCGGCAAGCGCGGTAGGCGCCGGGCGCCAGGCCGGCCCGACCCCGCCCACTCCAAGACCGGGCCCGCCCCGCCCCCTGCCTAGCCCCGCCCCCTGCCTAGCCCCGCCCCCCGCCAGACCCAGTCCAGCCCCTCATAGCTGTGCGCCCCGCCCACGAAGGAGGTCACGCCCCCTTCCGGTGGCTGTCTTGCTGGGAGCAGAAGAGGCGAGTCCTGGCGGGGCTTGGCCTGACAGGCCCGGAGCCGAACCGCCCCTTTCGCGGTTGGCTCAGGAAAGAGCCAGATTTGTTTGTTTGTTTGCTTGTAGCTTTTCCTTCTCTCAGCTCCTCGCTCATCCAGAAATAGAGGTAAAGTGCCCAGGCCAAGTCTCATAAAACGCCCCCGCGTGCGAACAAGTGACTGGGCTCCTGAGACCTATTCTTTGAGGCGTTGCTTCAGTGTGGGATGCCTGAGGGGTTGGGCAAGGATGAAAGAAGCCGGAGATTGTAGTGTCCAAGTGTAAAAGCTTCCCCTGGTGCTGCTTGCACGCTTGAGGAACGTGCGTCCTGGCTATGCGAGGTGTGAACTGGGCTGAGAGAGAATGGACATACCACATGGAAGCTGCTGACAGGGAAAAAATGACCTGGAAAATGGAGAAATAGCTAACTGCTTGGGTTTGGGGCTAGGAGATGCGACAAGAAGCAGATAGTGCCAAGGTTCTGAAGTAGCTTTTAAATGACCTTCGGCATCCCCCTTTAACATATTTTTATCCCTTATGAGAAAAAAAAAGATTCAAATTCTATCCAGAATGAGACAAAATGTGACATATCAAGCAATGAACATCCTCTGTCATGTTATTTCTAAGCTATCTACACTTAATATAGGTTTCCGGTAATTTATTGTGAAAACAAAGTTAGATGCTTGTTTTGGTCTTACCTTTACGGAAAAAGAACACTTTTACATAATTAAAATTTTAAGGAAGAAATTTTCTACTTGAAATAGATATTTACAGTTAATAAAATTTCAATTTAAATGTGCTTTAGTAAGCAAGGGAAATAATTTTTGGAAACTTGTTCTTGAGGTGTAACGGTATCTAGTTTTCTGTGCATGCACTTTTAAAAGAGCACCTTGACCTTCTTGTCTTTGTTCTTCCCTGTCTTCTTTCTAGCATGATCTGATAGTTTCCAATATATCATTATTTATTGTTGGAAACAACAACTCCTGCTGGTTTATCAATATCCCCAAGATCGAAGCCAAAATCCAGTCTGGCTTCCCAAAGCCATCACAGTATTATCCCCTTCACTTATGGTGAAACATCAAGGGAGTTAGAAGGATGCTTCTGGTATCTCAGTGGCTTGATCTTTCACTAGTAAAGAATCTCTTAGTTCTTAATATATCTTAGACTTTCAGGAGTTCTATATTAAGGGTGAAGCTAACTCTTCAGTATCCTTCCAAAGCAGCTGCCTGTGGAAAGATGAGACAGATGAAGAGGAGGTGCCCGGAGAACTGTTGGTGGGGTTGGTCAAATGCTGCAGAGTGTACTGCCTCATAGTTTTATCCAGGACCTTGTTGGATATTGTCCCATCCATTTGCTGTCTCCGGCTTCCGTTCTGTCATAGCCATGTACTATTGCTGGCTCTTTTTCCTTGACTTGTAATTCATTCCTATTCTGCCTAATACCTGAATGGACAGACCAGCTGATCCAGAATTTCTTCACTGTTGTTCCACCAGTCATGATCATAACCCACTAACAGTTCCTTGATATGACAGAATGTACACACCATTTATTGGGGTACTGAATTATGCAGCAAATAATAGGACTGGATCCAGACAATATGTTTAGTTTACCAGCCACATTGTAAACATGAGAGATTATGGAACAGATTTTAATATCATTCTTGTACTCCTAATACAATACTTATTCTACATGGAATACTGACTGCTTGAGGTAAGTTGTCTATTTGTAATTGTTCTTTTTCAAAGGAGACAGACTAGGGATATGTTTGTTTTGTGTTTTTTCACCAATGCATATTATTTTTAATTAGTTTTGTTTGCGTTTTTAGATAGCAAAGAATTCTTAGAAAAGGGAATAATGAAGTATAGCTTATATTTGCAAGTCATTCAACCACAATCAAAGAAAAAAGGGAGTAAACCAGGAAGTAGAATTAGAATAAAGTATAGCAATTATTGACTCTACAGTAGCAGAAATATTTTATTTTACATTGCAAAACTTAATGGAGAGTGATAAAAGTATATCTCCTTGAGAAGAACATCTATCAGACAGCATTTGTGTGGTCAACTCTGAGGTTATTTTTAATGCCCAAAGTATTTGATTTATTCAATAATATATGCTAAACCTGAGGTATGTTAAGGCATTGGTGGTTGTTTTCCAAGCAAGTACCCTAGGCTAAACCAGTTGCAAAATCTGCATTGCTTAAAAATATTGTCTAGGTCATTGATGCTTATGAAGAATAGAAATACAGTTATATTAATATGGACAATGTCAATAGACAATATAGAGTGGAAAGGGGAAGGCCTTTGATATCAGACTAAAGTTGAATGTTTTACTTCTCTCTGGATATCACTTTGTTCATATGTGAAATTGCAATCATAAATACCTTCCCAAGTTAATGTGAGGGTTACACAAAATTAAGTAGATGTTCACTAGGGCTATTGCAGTTACTATGTTGCAAGAGATAAAAAAGTCAATTTCATATGGAAGAAATTACTCTAATACTAATGAATAGCTTCTATTTCCATTTTATGAAGATATTTTATACATTATAGTAAGTTTAGGATAGAACAAAAAGCATATTATGGTTAAATAAAATTTTAGGTGAAAAAGCTTCAGTAATAAGAAATATATGATATCATGTAAAATTTCTTAACAAAGGCCTCAAATTAGAAAACAAGATTTATTTTGGTGCTAGTTACTTTGAAGCCTTTTGATTCTAGTTAAGATACTGTTTCGTTTATATCGATGAAATCAAAATTTTATTCAAAATCTGATCTGAGATGGAAGAATTATAGTTATATCAAATAATTTTTCTTTTTTGGTGATAACACTACATACTGTATTACTGTTTCTCCACTTTCTTCTATTCCAGCTCAATCCCAATATTAAAAGCTTGGGCAATCCTTAAAACATATTTTATGTGAGACTGATGTAGTGCATACTGCACAAAGGAGGCACCTTCAGGGTTTATTCTAAACAAACGTGACAATTTGGGTTAGCTCAATAATGCTAAAATTCATTTCAAAAGAAGAGCTTGTGGTTCCCTCAACATCTATTAGCATTTCCAGTGATAGTAGTGGGAAAATTCCCAAATAGAATAAAAAAGAATTGAAGGAAAATGTCATCAATAAGAATAAATTCTTCAGAAATACCCAATGATTTATTTATAAAACAAGTATAATAAAAGAACTCTGCTGAAAGATAGTCTGACTTTGGTCAGTTCTTTGATCTATTCCAGTAAGCTATTATTAATCATTAAAATATATTTTGTTTTAGTATTTCTAGTTATTGTACATATTTTAGAGAGATAAAATCTTATCAGGTATACAACTCAAGCCTGTTATTAGACTTTCTAGACTAGTTTAAAAAAATCAATAATTATTGGAACTTTCCTTATTGGAACACTAGTATAGCACAACCATCTGCTACTTTTATTTTCCTTTTTTTTTTATCAAGTACACATCAAAGGGAAAGGTGTAAATACCACTTGAAAACTGCTTTACATATTATTTATTCAACAGGCAAGTCGTATGTTATACACATTGGAGGCTTGCCAGTTTTATCACTTGCTCTCAGGTCACAATTTCATGTTTATAGAACACTAGATTTACCCTTTCTACAATGAATTTGTAGCCACTTCTTTTTTTCCCCACTGACTCAGTTCTCTACTGTTTCTGAGCAGCAGGTAAGAATGCCATCTAGTCTTCAACCACAATGGAGAAGCAAGATCTTATAACAGAATAAATAAACTTCATTTGGTTTGGTTTGTGAATTCATAAAACAGCTCAAAGGAGACTTTGGAATCTCCTTACTGGACATATGGGAAAGCCAAAATATTTGTAATTCATCTGTGAAGCCTAGATTCTCAAGTTTGAATTCACCTCTTTTCTTTTTCTTCTCAGTCTTGCCGTAAAATGTTGCTTTTCAAGATCTCCGACATCTCGAACCATGCAAGTTTTACAGAGGTGTATGGATCTATATCATCTGCTCACTTTATGCCAGTACTTGCTGTGGGTAAGACTTTTTTGGTTGCAGTATATCACAAAACAGGATAACGTCTTAAGTTCACAAGTGTTAACATCGTACTGTAATGTGATCAATTTTTTGATATACATTTTCTTCCTAACTTGTTTATTTCCAAACACTTGTACTTTATATATGATTGCTTTTTCAATAAAACCAGTTAGAACTTAAAAAATTTACTATACATAGATTTAGAATTATGTATTTCTATATAAAACTTTCTTTGTACCTTTTATAAAAATGAAAGAAAACAGGTTAGTGCCTGGATATACCATATATCAATCTAGTACTGATATATTTGAAAAGTTTTATGAGGACAGTGTTCATAATGGTTGTTTCCCATGTGAGCATTCATGAGCATGTGCACTGAACCCACACACATACATACACACACACACACACACACACACACACACACACACACACACACATGCACAATATATTTTTTAAAGAAAATCATTTCTTTGACATTCACCTGATCCTAAATAAATAGGAACTATACTAGCTTCTCCCACAACATTTCCTGTCTCTAATCTATTTTGTGCAGCTGGTTCATTCCCACTATAGAACAAACAAAATCTACATTCAGAACAGGACCCTTTACATGTTCAATAGAGTTATTCTGGGTGAGTCATTGAAAACACAGCACAAAAACTTTCCTCATCCATCAGAAATGCATTTTAAAAATAAAGCCAAAGTGAACAAGGCTTGGCAAGTTTAAGAGTAAAATGGGAAGAAAGTGGAGCTTTTTTCCAGCTACAGACAGGATTTTGGCTATTTCTTAACTTTCAACTTCGCCATTTCCTTTGATCACCTCTAAGTAAAAAGTGCGAAATCAAACAGGTAAGACATAAAATACTGACACTTGGTTTCAACTAGCACTGTGACAGTGGGTCCCCTGCAGAGTCAATGCACCTTTGTAGCTCAGAACGGTTTTAAGACTCCTTTGTGTCTTTCTTTACTTCAGATCTGTAAGGCACAAATTAAGAATCCGCTTTCTATGGGCCTTTAGACAAATAATTAGAAAGTTGTGTGTGTGTGTGTGTGTGTGTGTGTGTGTGTGTGTATGGTTTTTGAGACAGAGTTTTGAGACAAAGTTTTAGCTTTGTGCCTTTCCTGGAACTCCCTCTGTAGTCCAGGCTGGCCTCAAACTCACAGAGATCTGCCTGCCTCTGCCTCCCAAATGCTGGGATTAAAGGCGTGCGCCACCACTGCCCGGCCAGAAAATTGTATATAAATTTTATATTCATTTCTTTAAAAAAGCTTTTAAGTAAATCAAGTCCATGGAAGTAAATCTAGCAATGAAGTATTAGAGGAAGTAGAATTATGGAGACAGAAAATAAGCTAGTTCCTAAGAAAGTTTTAAGTTGAATTTGATAATAAACAAGTCTGTATAAGGGTTTCATGAATTTGAGATATTTAAGTATTCAAGATTTATAAGTCACTGTAGATTACTTCCTATTAAACATGTTACTCACCCAGTAGTGTGAAGAAAACTTCCTATTTTCCACAAGGCACGATAGATCACGCAGGTATTCACATCCCATGAGCAAAAAGAAATCCAGAATCTATAAGGAGATATTATAGGACTTTGGTTTTATTATTTTTAATTATGTGTATATGTGCATGTCTGTGTGTGTGCATATGCATGCAGGTGTCCAAGACAGCAACAATGGTTGGATTCCAGGAGCTGAAGTTATGGGTGTTTGTTTCCCTCCTGACATGAGGCTGAGAACTGAACTCTCACCCTTTGCAAGAGCAGCAAGCTCCCTTAACCACCCGCTGAACCATCTCCCCAGCCCCATGGATATAATCTTTAAAAATTACACTAACTCGGAACTCTTGCTACAGAATTTCATAATTCTTAAGATCCTCTTTAACATGGGTTGACCCAGAATGATTACTGTGAGCTAATTAATGTATACCGTAGAGGATCCTAAAGTGGGAAATGTCCTATTCACAAAAGTCCTCCCCTGAGTTACAGGAAAAGCCAAGAGACACTGAGTTACACACACACACACACACACACACACACACACACACACACATATATATATATATATATATATATATATATATATATATTGTATATATATTGCCCTTGGGCTCTGTTTCCACAAGTCAATGTACAACAGTTGGTAAAAAAATAAAATGTCTATGTTTGAAATTTAATCTGCCTATGGAAATACTAGGATCGAAATAAATAGATATATATGCCTACTCTAGTTAAAAACAAATTGTAGTATTCCATTTCCCACATTTGGAGAACTTCTTTCCTTTCACTTTTCTTTTGGAGTAAGTAATTTTTTTAATAATAAAACAAGAACTTATTTTTCTTTTAAGATCATTCCTCTTGCCTAGGAATGATTTTGTGTTGTTTATTTTTACTTAAATGTAATCTACATATAATGAAAGTTAAGGGGACTTAATGTATATTACCATTAAGAAATAAGAACAACAACAAAAAAGAACTTCCCTATAGTCTGTGTCAAAGGAATGCAAATGTAAAGCAAATTCCTTTGAAATCTCATCTCATTGGGCATGAAAGTTTCTTAAAGCTGTGAGGTAGCATGGTTGGCCTAGATTACATTAGTACAAATAACACAGCTCAATGGCATGTAGCATGTTTATTAGGAAAGTGTAATTAAGTAAAAGAATCACAAGATAGAAGTTACCAGACAGGTTATTTTGCTTGATTTTTAAATATTCTTCTGAGTCTGTGACTTTTCTTATAGTTTTTTTTAACAAATCATCTCAGGGTCGTACTTTAAACCCATCAAACACACCTTATGTTGATATCTATTTATAGAAGTTTTAATAGGGCAATTATTTCAATGGACTCTAGGAAATGGCAATGTTAAAAATGAGTGGTTTTAACTAGGTACTTGCTTTGTGCCAGTCACTATATTTAGAACTATACTGACACTGGCTCATTTAATAAAACAAACTAACAAACAATCCTACCAGATTCTTTAACTGCTTGATTGTTCTAGTTTTATGGTTAGAAAAGCAGATTTTCTGAGATGTTAGTGTTCCAGACCACACACTAGTACACTGCTTGAGTGGCAGAGTAGAACCAAGGCTTCTCCCTACCATGCTCACACTCAAACTTACCCTCACAACTGCTTCCTGGAACCTGAGCCTGGTTATTAGAGCTCAGCAGCTGTGTGAGCACTGCAGGCCTCTTCACTTACAGCTGGGCAGAGGAGCAGGGGCACTAAAAGCTCCTGGACTCCTGGGGAGGGATTTATCAACTCCAACTCCTTGGTTTTTCAAGGCAGCAAGACTGAGTTAGAAATATTAGGGAGACTACCTGCCTAAGGGGAGCAGGTAGTCAGTGACAGAAATATGACACGAGTCCGTCCGTGTCAGCCTTGCAGTGTGCTTGCTTGTCTACCTCTCAGGAATTCTGCCAGGAAGTTTTAGGCAATAACCTTACATATACTAACACTTTAACTTGAACATAACAGGAAATCATGCATATCTCTTCTGGGTTTTTTTTTGAAGTGATGAACATTGCCTATAAAATAAATACATTTAGAATCTCAGCAACCTCACATACTACACTTGCAGAGGACCTAAGTTCAGTTCCCAGTACCCACATACTGAAGTTCCCACAGTTTGTAACTTTAGCCCCAGGGGGATCCAATGCCTCTGGTCTCTGCAGGCACCAGTACACTCATGAAGCTCATCCCCCAGACAGAAACACAGACATACACATGGAGGAGACCCTGTTTTGGCTCCCAGCATTTCAGTGGGAGCTCACAACCATCTGTAATTCCAGTTCCAGGGAATCTAATGCCTCATTTGACCTTTGCTGGCTCCTGTGTACACACAGTGCACATATATACACTCAGACACACACAGGTACATATTAAATAAATAAATATTTTAAATAAATGCATTTAAAAGCATTAATGTTAAGTATTTGCAATTGTCATTTAATAGAATGTTCAGAACCCTCTGAAATATTTGTTGATCTGTAATCAGGAGAGTTCTGGCTAATCGGAGGACAAATCTCCTATTTTCTCCAGAAAAAAAATCTTTGTTTTTTTTTTTATTAATAACATCTCTACATATTTTGTTGTTTTATGCTAGCTTTATTTGGATGTATATTATGTTTTGAAATGGAGTCTCTCTGTGTAGCCTGAAACTCATGATGAGTCTACCTCTGTCTATCAAATACTGTGATTATTTCTTTTTGCATTATCATAAATTATACCACAACCTTTACTATGTGCCTCATAGAGTAGGAAAACTATGAGTAAGATGTTCATTTAGTTTCATTTATTATAAAAGTCATAGTCATAAAAAGTCTTCTCTATAAAATACTTTGTAACCATCAGAAAAAAACATTTCAAGACAGAATAGCAATAGGATATACTTCCGTGTTCCTTGGAAAACTCCAATCATGTTGTAATCTTCCCAGGCCCCTAACTACACAAGTTCAAGCCTATGTGCTAATAGACTTTGAAGCAGTTCCACCCAAAGTTAAAACCACAGTGGGAAACATCACTGTCTGTTAGAGCTTATGCAGTCCTTTTAAGGATGGTTAGGCAAGGGTGGGGGGTAGCATGATGTGCTGTTGGTTCAGAAAGAAGTATGGCAACTTTGATGTAGCCTTTTCTGCTGATGTCTGGTAGAGATGAGGGTAAATTTACCAAAATTTTGCATAGTCCTATGAAGTACCACAAGCTTCTATTTGTAAGTGGGCTCTTTTGATAATTTTTTTTTACTTCCTATGGGTGTAGAGTTATAGCCACTCAATAGCTAATTAATCATGCCTTCCTCTCCTTCTTTGCGAATAATTGTATTGGACTGGATACCATTCCTATAAATGATTAGATATGCCTTTAGATCCATACAATGTAGGAACATATCTAGATAATCTATGTGTCTACTGATTTCACTACTATATGCAAATGTGTAAGATACATCATGTCTAGTAAGAAAAATCTTCCTTTCATATAAGCCGTGTATCTCAGAGGGGTTATATTCATTGATAAAGGTAAAGATGTAAGATGCTTTTATGTTATCAATTCTTCAAAATGTCAAGTAATAATTTTAATGTCTAAGTTTCTCACTAGCATATATTATTAAATTTTCTCATTAAAATTTGTTTACTTCAGATCCCAAACCTATTACTCCAGCCAACCATAAGCACTCAGGATTGGGAACAGAATCTCTGTAACCTGAGGGTGTTCTTTAACTTACATTTGAGTCTTATATGGAAGCACAATATTCTATACTAGAAGCAAAATGCTAAGATTATAACATAGCTAGTCTAGCTACTTTGATACTCAAAGTATTATCTAATGGGGATAGGTTCATGATAAGAACATGAGGGATTCATTTCTAAATCTGAAATCTAGCCTTCCAGGCAAAGTTCAAATGCCACTTGTGGGACCTCATACCTGAAGAGCTTAGTTATGAGACTGGAGCAATGGCTGATCAGTTAAGAGCAGTAGCTACTCATCCAGAGGATTGGCACCCACTAAGGGCCTCACATAGGCTTTAACTTTGGGTCCAGAGGATCCAATGCTCTCTTTTAGCCTCCATGGATGCCACACACCTCTGTGCACAGACATTCATCCAGGCAAAAACATACAGACATATAAAGTAAATACATCTCTTTAAAAGTTTATTTAAAAAATATTTAAAATTCTAACATACATTGAAGGAAGTGAAAATGTTATCTACCCAGATTTGATCATCACACATTGCCAACAAATACTGTCACACTGTACTCCAGAAATTTGTACATTATAATTATAATTAAAATAAAACACTAATTTGAGGAGGAAAAATATTCAAAGTTGTCTAAAAGATACAAATGCAGTTACTATCATGACTGTACAATATCATTATGCATGATTATTTCAGTATATCAGTATTTACCCAGGACTTAAGAAAAGTCTAGGAAATAGCCCGCCACTTTACTGCTTTGATAATACTCAGTGGTTTCCACAAGTATATATTTTCTAAGATTTCTCTGTGGTTTGTACAGTAACCCCTGCTGGTATCAATTCTGCATGTGAACAGTGATATGAAAGCAGAATGCCCTATCTCAGAAAGTGAATCTTTCAGAGATAATTAAGAATGTCATCCTTCATGTTTGGTAACAGTATCTATGTGGAAGCAGACATGGGAAGAATTACATAAAATCCTAGTAGGATTAATCAGAAAGTTGATTAGCATGAGAGGTTGCAATCCTTTCAGTAGCACATTCAGCATTAGCAAAACCAGTCAGAAGTAATGAAGCACCTTTGTACATCTCAAAAGCAAAGCAGAACAGTTCTCATCTTAGATTTTCTTTAAGAGAACTTGAGTGGAAACCTCTTTTTACAATATTTATTGTAAGAACAGTTAAAATCACCAGGCTTTGTGTTTTCTCACTGGCACTGGAAACTAAGTAACTGACAAAGTTGTGCTATATTAGCTGCTAGAGACATGGTGCCAAGTGTGTGGCTCATGCAAGGCAGATGAGCAGGTCGTCATGGTATGCCTCTTAAACCTTGCTCTAGTTTGTTTCCACCCTGTTCTCATTCTACCTTCATTTCTTCTGCAAAATAGCATTTTGTTACTTTTAAACTTTACATTTTACTTTTAAACATATCTACAATATAACAATAAACAGCTAAGTCAAGTATATTGGGAAAGTATAGAAAATTATATTTAATCATGAAAATACATATTTTACAGAGGAAATAAGAAATGAACAAAGAGACAGTTAAATGGCAGCATTATGGCTAACTTTTCCAAACTGTTTGAGATTACATTGACAACTTAGTAAGGGGTAGGGAAACTACTTGAATTTTGAAGGCTATAGCTAATTAAGTAGGAATATGGGGGAGTATATACATGACCCCACATAATATATTTCAGTATGATTATATTAATACATGTGAAAAACTATCATAATTGAGGTTGAGATGGCAGGTTAAAGCTGATTTTCAGTCACTGTCCCAAGGGGTTGTTTTTTTAAATTTTTAATTAAAGTGCTGTATTGAAAGATAAACAGTAACTTTAGAGTTGAAAGAGTTGGGCAGGCTTTAGGCAAGGCAACCAGATAGGGGGTGTATTAATTGGTATTTGGCACAGATGATGAACAGCTGTGTTAGGGCACTAGCAGTAGGGCCTACACACAACAACACTGACAGTTTAGAAATAGGTGTGTGGGAGGAGGAGAGCCAGAGTGACCACCCCAAGGTTTGTTTTCAACTTTCATTAAAGGGTATTTATTGGGTTCATAGCTAGAATTGTGAATGAAAGTTTGGCTTAAATAATGCATGTATGTTCTGATGGCCTCCCATCTCCCTGGTTCTTATCAGTCTTCCTCCTACTTCCCAAGAACACTGTTGCATATCCAGTGAGGTGTAATCAGAAAAGACCTATAAAATGCAAATTCCAGTGACCATGTTCAAGCCCTCTTTTTATAGTTAGCCTTATAACTTTTGGAAGGATTCACTACCCCTTCTGTTCCTTCTTGTCCTGGATTTTTCACTGTGTTTCTCAGCCTCTATAATTGGATCTCTTCTTCCTCCATATATACTTCTGTGTTCCCCAAATTCCCATCCTTAGCTCACCAACTCTCCCTGGGTAAGGAGGGAAAGGGACAACTATATCACAGTACCTCTTTAGGTCCCTGAAGAAATGTGCCTCTAATTAAGTGAGAACAGAGGTTAAGCAGAGGGATTGCATGGCCTGACTCATGCTTTTGAACACTGACTCTGGCTGTTCTTCATAAATGTGACTAATGTGGTAAAGATAGGAATAGAGAAATAAAAGAAGATTATGGAATAACAGTTCTACCAGAGTGGGAGCACTGGGCATGGTGGAGATGATACAGATATCTTGAGGATAAACCACAGGACTTGCTGTGGTTACAAGTGGTGTGTAACAAAAAGAAGGGAGTAAGAGTGATTTCTTTCATTGAGAAACTAAAGATTCTGTTCAGGCTGAAGCAAAGAAGACTTTTAGTGGAACAGTCTTGGAAACAAATATTGAATGTGTTAAGTTTCAAGAATTTTTTAAATACTTAGCTAGAAAGGTAGAATAAGCATGCAACTATGGAGACTGAAGTAGGGAGATAAATTTGGACTTAAATACAATTTAGGGAGTAATAGATAAATATGTAATACTTAATACCCAAAAGTTAGGTGGGGTCATAAATTGGGAATTGGTGAAGAATGATAAGAAGAGGTACCCAATGATAATATTTTGGGGGTACATCACACTTTAGAGGTAGGTAAATGAAGAAAATTCAGCAAAGGAGGCTGAGAAAAATAAACCTATGAGACAGAAAAAGAGAAAGTGGAATCCAGAGAACAGGTTTGAAAGAGCAAGAAATCAACTTTGCTAACTTCCTGATAAGTTAATTAGGAAGACTGAGAACTGACTTGTGGTTTGGCTGTATAGAGTTTGTTTCTGACCTTGATAACAATTGTGGCTGGAATGGTGAAGAATGGAGACTTGATTAGAGTGGAAATCTGTGGGCTAGTTCTTTGAGAAGAAGGAAACAGGAAACGGTATGGGTATTCACACTAAAACAATTCACTAACATACAACAACAACAACAAAAAAAACCAGGAAAACCATTATACAAATATATGGCCATAAAAATCACAAAAGCCTGTGCTAGCTGAAACTGAAATGAAGAGCAAGTCCTCATTTTGAATTCCTCTGAACTTATTCTTAATTTTAATAATTAGCCTCACAATTACCATCATTTCATCATTTCTTAATTTAGCAACCACAAGAGGTAGAAACATTCCACATATATGTATATATATAATTTTTAAAATCATATATATGAATATATACATATATATATATGTGTGTGTGTGTGTGTGTGTGTGTGTGTGTGTGTGTGTGTGTGTGTGTGTGTGATAGATACAGTGCTTTGAATGAGAATGACTCCCATAGGCATTCAGGTATTTGCACTTGGTCCCCAGTTGTTGGTGCTGTCTAGAGAAGCTTAGGGAGGGAGGGAAGCTTCTCTAGAGGAACTATGTCACTGGGGTCATGTTTTGAGATTAAGAGTCTTGTGCCACTTCCAGTTCATTTTCCCTGCATGGCACTTGTGCTTTAAATTGTGAGCACGCAGCTTCCTTTTCCTGACACCATGACTATACTTGCTGTTATGCTCCCCCACCACAGTAGACTTACTCCACTGGAACTATAAGCTAACACAAACTCTTCCTTCTTTATGTTGCTTTGGTTATGATGTTCTGTCACAATAGCAGAAAAGTAGCATACATTAGCTAGAATAAAATATATAGTTGGAATTACATGTGTATTGCTACTCTACTTAAGAATTTTTTTTTTCAGCCAGGCGGTGGTGGCGCACGCCTTTAATCCCAGCACTCGGGAGGCAGAGCCAGGCGGATCTCTGTGAGTTCGAGGCCAGCCTGGACTACCAAGTGAGTTCCAGGACACAGAGAAACCCTGTCTCAAAAAAAAAAAAAAAAGAATTTTTTTGTTTGTACATATGGTAAAATTACATGGTATTTGTTTTGCTGTGCCTCACTTATTTTACTCAATTTAATGTCCTCCACAATCATGCATGTTGCTGCAAATGAAATGTTAGTTTTCTTTCTATAACACAGTGGTATAACACGAATTGCTAAATGGTCTTATTAATAAAAAATAAAAAAAAACCTGGAGCCATATATTGGGGTTAAAACCTGAGAGCTCAGAGGAATAGGAAAAGCCACAGACAACCTCATCTCACTGACACCTCAGTCTCCAAAGAGACCTACTTCCTGTATACCCATGCCTACATGTCTTTCTGTTCTGCCATCTCATTTCCTCTCTCTGCCCAGCTACATCACTTCCTGTCTGTCTGTACAGACCTCCAGACCTCTATGGTTAGTGCTGGGATTAAAGACAAGTGTCATCATTCCTGGCTCTGTTCCCCAGTGTGGCCTTGAACTCACAGATATTCTGATGGATCTCTGCCTCCTGAATGCTAGGATTAAAGGCATGTGCTACCATTGCCTGAATTCTATGTTTAATATAGTGGCTGGCTTTTTCCTCTGATCCTCAGATAAACTTTATTAGGGTGCACAATATTGGAGGATACAATACATCACCACATAGTAGTGTCCCATCATGACTACAATTCAAATTTTATCCATTTATTTGTACATGGACACAAGTTTTATTTCATACATTCCAAATATTAATATCACTGCAGTAAACAAGATACAGATGTCTCTTCAGTGTTCTCCTACTGATTGTTTGCTTCAGGAATACAGTAATGAGATTGTTGGATCATATAATAATCTGTTTTTAAATTTTGAGGAATCTCCATACCACTTTCCATAATTACTCTATCAATTTATATTCTCATCACTAGTATTCAGGTCTTCCCTATTCTTCTCATCCTTGTCAACGTTGGTGGGCTTTTGTTAAAAATTATTGTAACAGGTGTAAGATTATATCTCTTTGTTGGTATAATTTGCATTTTCCTGATGATTAGTAGTGTTGAACAGTTTTTCAAATACCTTTTGGTCATTTCTCTTTATTGATTCTTTGTGGATTTCACATCTTGCATTCTGATCCCACTTACCTCCCTGTCCCCTTGCATTTGCCTTCTGCCCTTGCAGCCTCCCCACAAAACAAACCTAATTTAAAAGAAAAACCAAAAACCAAATAAAACAACCAAAATAAAAACAACAACAACAAAAAGAAGAATCTTGTCCTGGAAGCTGTAGTGTGGCCCTGTGAGTCACACAATTTACCCTTTAGTCCATACATCTTTACTTGTAAGTGTTCATTGCTATGAGTCATTGGTCTGGTTTGAGGCCTCTGGTTTCTGCTATACCACAGGTAATGGGCACTTACTGGGACTCCTCTTGGATATCCTGTTGTCCTGTATCATGGAGATCCTGCTGTTTTGGATTGTAGGTTCGTCCCCTCACATGCTCCAACAGTTCATTGATTTGGTGGATACTGGGGTGGGCCAACTCATAGCCCTGGTTCTGGGCCTGGGTGGTAGCTGGGTTGGTTAGCATCATCACTACCCAGATGAGCTTTTCAGCACTGTCTCAGTTAGCTCACTCTATGTGACTTAGAGCAAGGAATTGGCCAGTTCTCCTGCTCTGGTGTCCCCCTCACTCATATCTCCATGGTCAGCTCTACTGTTTTGCCCAGGAAAAGTGCAGGACCCTCTCTCCCAATTGCTGTATGGGGCATACAGGGGTGGAGGAGAAGGGGATAGAGGTGTGTGTGTCGGGGGGAGGTTTGTAGAGTCAGTTCTCCTGCTATCATGCCCTCAGGGCTGGCTTACCTGTGTCCCCAAGAACAGGGTCAGCTCTAGTGTACTGTCCAGAGAGGAAGCAGAGGCTGCTTTCTTATGTACTGCAGCCAGTGAGGGTCAGGGCTCGCTCTCCTACTCTTGTGATCCCAAGGCCAGCTCTCTCACCTGCTGCAGGTGGTAAACGTGTGTTGGTCATTTCTTTAGAGAAATGTGAAATCAGGTCTTTTTTCTCATTTTTAATAACAATTTATTTCTTTTCTTGCTACTGAGTTATGTTCTTTATATATTTTAAATCTTAACCCTTTATCTGGTACACATATACATACATACATACATACATACACATAGTTTGCAAATGTATTCTCCTTGTAGGATATCTCTTCACTTAGTTGCTCTATAGAACCTCTGTAGTTTAACATAACCACATTTGTCTATTTTTGCCTTTGTTACCAGTAGCCTGGAAATCATATCCAAAAAAATCATTGCCTAGATCAATGTTTCAGAGGTTTTCAGAGAAGGATAATTTAAATGAGTTCTCATCCACTGTCCTGAACATACCAAGAATTAGATGCTCTACTAACATAATGGAGCCTAAGCCATGTGGAGATTGAAAAGAAAGATGTGAAAGTTCACAAATATGAACAGAAAACTAAAGAGAAGTAAAAACATGTTTGTTCAAGTTATATATCTCTCTAAGCAGCCTATTCCTAACATACCCGTGAGACATGTCCAACTACATGTGATTCTTGCAGGGGAAGAAAAGAAAGGACAGAGCAACCATGTTATTGTCTCAAGGGCTGGCTCTCAGCTAGCATGGGAGTAGAAAGTAAGGAGAGCTCCACATTGCTCACCATACCCACTGATGCTTCTGTGGTGATATTGTGTCCCCCAATATATTGTGCACACTAATAAACTTATCTGGGGTCAGAGAACAGAGCAGCCACTAGATAGACATAGAGGCCAGAAAACGATGGCACACACACCTTTAATCCTATCACTTGGGAGGCAGAGATCCATCTGGATCTCTGTGAGTTCAAAGCCACACTGGAAACAGTTAGGCGTGGTGACACAAGCCTTTAATCCCAGGAAGTGATGGCAGGAAGCAGAGAGGTATATAAAGCATGAAAACCAGGAACTAGAGTCTGTTAAGCTTTTAGGCTTTTGAGCAGCCATTCAGCTGAGATCCATTCAGATGAGGACACAGAGGCTTCCAGTTTGAGGAAACAAGATCAGCTGAGGCACTGGCAAGGTGATGTTAGCTGGGGCTTGTTCGGTTTCTCTGATCTTTCACTATTCACCCCAATACCTGGCTCTGGGTTTGTTTTTATTAATAAGATCTTTTAAGATTCATGCTACATGCTTTCTCATTGTAGAGCATCCTAGAGGCCCTCTTGGAAAAGATATAGCTGTATTTAATATGTTCAGACATACGTTTGTTGAATTTCAAGAGCAGTTTTTAAGTTCATTGAGATAGAGCTCAGAGACTGAGATTGGATGTGATGGAAATTGGAGAAATGGAGGGTATTAAGGACTTAGTTGTTCAGAGAAACTGTAGAGACAGGTGGGAGAGGGAAGTCAGGAAGGGAGGAGGTAGGCTAGTGGAAGGCCTCAGTGAGATGATTTGTCTAAGGTTTTTAGATTCCTTGTGAAGAATGAAGTTATCTGATAAAATTGGGGGAGAGCATTAGTTGAAGGAGTAGGCACTCAAGTTAAGATAGTGATACTGTGTTGTAATTATAGGAGGTGAGGACTTGCTGGGGATGACTAGGTAGGACTAGGTCATGTCACTAGTTGTTAACACTGAAGTCCCAAGGAAAAGACTTGTGCACCTCAGAAGGTCAAGAAATTATGAGTCTAGTGTGTTGGGTGGGGCATCATCATAAATACTGAAGTCATGTATGAATCATTCAGGATGAGACAGGAAGCAGGGTGGAGAAAAGGCTGGCAGAGCCCAGGGCACTGCAGTGTGAGGCCATGAGGAATGAAAGATGGAGGAAGTCACAAGACCAAGTTACAAGTGATCAAAGTCCAGACAATGTAGGACAGCCTTTCTTGTAGCCATCTGTCTCTGGGAGCATGGTAGGCAAGCTGAAGGTCCTATGTCACTAAGGTGCCTACACTGGCAGCATTCCTGAAAAGCTTTTGAGAGGCTGAACTTTTGAAATGATTAAAGCATTAAATTACCTCAGAGGTTCAACACATTAGTAAAGTAAATATTAACACAGATTAGTCTATCAAGCCTATTTAAAACCATTAGCCCTTTAAGCACAAGTAAGGCGCTGAAGGTGTGGACGGCTATTGAAAGTGGGGGAGTGGAAGGAGGAAGGGAACATAGGAAACAGCCCTAGGCAGAAGGAAACAACTACCAAGCAAGAGCATGGGGAACTGACTAATGCATGCCCTGGCAGTGCTGTGGAGGAAGAGGAAAGTGCAAATGAGCCATGATCCTCAGTTCAGTACCCTCGTCATTTTAATTATCTCAAATACAAGGTGGGGGCTGGGGACATTGCCCAGCTCTATCAAGATGAAGAACTCAAAAGGAAATATTAACATTTATAGTTAAAAAAAAAGAAAGAAAAAGGACAGAGGCTTCTGCATAAATGTGACAGTTAGCCAACTTTCTATCCCTGAATCAGAAAATAGGGTCAATTATATCCTATTACAGAACTAAGTGCATGTTATTAGAGGAGACTGTGTTAGTCAACAATACTCCAGACTTGTCTTGGAGACACCTATTGTTGGCTATTTACTAAGAAGTCACCACTTCTCCTTCTTAGCAACAGAATCATTTTTATACCATTTGTATATTGGCATGAAACATGACACTAGGAGCCATCTTGTGACCACAGAGTAAGCTACCCTCAGAAGACCATCTGCTGAGAAGGTGCCTGGATTTTAGGGACAGAAGAGCATAGCACCTCATTAAACTGGAACTTAGGATATCAATATTGCCTGACATATAGCCAAAAATGATGCATTCTTTACTTGAAATTCAAATTCCAGGAGATGTTGTATATTTAATTTTGTAAGCCTGGATGCTAAGAATGGCAAAACAGACATTTACAAAGATCCTACCTCAATAAAGAACTACATAAACTGCTGACCTAACCAACTCTGGAGAATACCTTAGTTCAAAACATTTTGATATTGGTGAAGTTC